ATCATAGTCAGTATAAGGAATCGTTGTTTACCTAGTGTTACCTCACAAGTACCGTTTCACGTCCAGAAATGCCACTTTCATTCTCGACAATAGGAACCCGAGACTCTCGGGTAATCTTCGCGCGGCCGCGGTGTCCTGATTCACAGTACTTAATTAGCAATTAAAATCCATGAATTAGATAGAGCGTATGTCTTCCCGAGAGAGTCCCGTCTGTAATGACTCAATTTTTTTGTATTTGCTTCAATTAAGAAATCCCAAACAGGAAATCGTATGATACAGTACGAAGTGCAATGATAGTTTGCGCAATTTTTTTTACTGTATAAAACCTATAGGAAATTTTTTAAAAAATCACTATAGCATTCCTTATCCTACGACCTATGGGTCAGTCAATAGGGATCTATGGATAAAACGATGCTCCGAACCAATGATCGTTATCGCATCGATCACAGCCAATCGAGCGTAATGGCGAGTCACCTATAATCGGTCGTTTAGTCCTGCCGATTGCAGAATCCATCTTAAGGGAATTGGAAATGGAAACGTCTAATTTCGCGAGGACAAGATCGTGCTCGGGGTTGATATCGGTATAACAACCGATCGGTATAACAACGTTAAAAGTACGATCGATAATTCCCCAATCATCCAGAAATTTGGGGTTAATGTATTGTATCCTGGATTTTTTTTGGTTGAAAAATTGCAAAAAACTTTTTTGCTCCCTAGAAAATTCTTATTAACTGACCACGCACTACTGTGACTCCCGTAGGAATTATCCAATTCGTACAATGCATAACGAGCCTCGGGTATTTAATTAACGGAGAAAGTTCTCAGACTCGCCATAATTAAACGGACGTTTAATCGCGTCTGCGAATTTCTAAATGAGCTGCTGTTATTAAAAGAGGCAATAAATGGTTAAATTAAAGCGAGAACAATGTAAGGCGTTCATAGAAATTTTATTGGAATTAAGGAGATTCTCGTTACCGTATAAAAAGGACGTCCTTACGACGCTTGCGCTATGTGGGATTTATTTGGTGTTTAAAATAGTAAAATAATCCTTTTTATTTATGATGCAATGCAATTTTTTATCTCTCGATTATGCATCGTTCGATCCACGTATGCGATAACGAAATCTCTCCTCGTTTTGGCAGATCGATTAAGTAATCTCAATATTTATTCGTGTTTTTTTTTTTTCGCTACTTTTATACATTCAAAATTCCACTGGTCAATTAGTACTGTATCGCGTGTCACGTTTCCAACATTCTGTTTGCTCTCTTTAGTATCGAATAACGGCTGGTTTCGTCACGCGCTCGCAATGTTAGATCAATTTCAACATCGCTCTGCGCACGATCGATTAAACTCGCCAATATATATTTTTTGATCCTATCATTTCTTACGTAGTTAGCTATTGAAAGTTTCCGAGACACGTTCCGTAAGCACGCGTTATACGTATGGAATACGATTTAACAGCGTTGGATTCTGGGTAAAAATATTCTTACGGTATAATACAGACGCGTGTCCGGTCAAAAAATTGATATAAAAGAATTCCTGTTTATAACAATAGATCGTAAGAAATCTATGACTTTTGTCAAAGAATATTTCGTAAAGGAGATAGAAAGTTTCGCATTGAATAATCCGTTCTGCGATTCCTATGAGGACACGTTTGGATCTGACAGCGATTTCGTTTGAGGGATTATCGTTATTTTTTGTTTTCGTTTACCTAATTCGCAAAAATCCGTATATTTTTTCCTTCTATAACATAAGTTCTTCCGTAACTCCCCAATTTTCTATAACCGTTTAAATGTTCTTAATTCGTTTTATTTTGTTCTATATATCTTCTTTTTTCATGTAATTTCTCTTACACTGTAAAAATTTGTTATATCGCAAATGGATTAAAAGTTAAAAAAAAAGACATTTTGAGAGCACAGGTTAAGATTCTGACTGTCAAATAATTCTAAGCCTGATAACTGTACATTTAATATCTCACAATTACACTTTCTATTTGATGGATGCTGGTCTTCCGGATGGCTTCTAATAAGAAGCACTGACCTCATTCGCTACGCGGACAATCATCAAAACCGTTCAAAATTCAAGCGATTAAATCATTAAATGATTCCCAGTAAGGTACTTAGTGGGCAAAGGATATTATCGAGTCCATGCGTTTCAACGTGTTACGTTTCATTGACCAATCTTTTTACTACACAGTACAGACGAATCATACAATTCTTTTTCCAAACTGAACCATTTTTCACATACAATTTTAAAAAACCAATTTTAAAAAACCTACAAGATATCTTGAAGAAAGAGCGAGGTATAATTGACGTGTAAGATTCTTTAATTGGCCACTTTTTTTTATGAACAGTCTTCTACTATATCAATAGCTCAGGTCTATAGTTACATTCAGTGCCTATAATTCGGATTTTTCTTATATTCGAAATTTCAATAACGCAGTTGGCAATATTAAGATTTGTATATTTTTTTACTATATTATAATTTAATATACATCATACATATACACCAGTCGTTAGATACGGTTTCTAATTTTTCTATTGAACACGAATGTGATCTTACATTCATAACGATTTCATATGCTGTAATTACATAACGTATGTAAACATATTAAAGAATTAGATGCTTTTCAAAAATATCTTTGTCACGCATGTGATAATTTCACATGCGTTTAACTCTTATTCGTATAAAACTTTTTTGTTTATCACATTGGCACTTGCCCTTACTACTTGAGTACAGCTAACTAAATAAATCTTAAATACTAAAAATTATTTTAATCAAAATTATAACCCATCGTTGTATCAATACTTACGGATAACTCTTATTCGTATAAAACTATTTTGTTTATCACATTGGCACTTGCCCTTACTACTTGAGTACAGCTAACTAAATAAATCTTAAATACTAAAAATTATTTTAATCAAAATTATAACCCATCGTTGTATCAATACTTACGGATAACTCTTATTCGTATAAAACTATTTTGTTTATCACATTGGCACTTGCCCTTACTACTTGAGTACAGCTAACTAAATAAATCTTAAATACTAAAAATTATTTTAATTAAAATTATAACCCATCGTTGTATCAATACTTACCGATAGCCATGTTGATTACTGATTTTTTCTCTAACACATATTGCAATGATCTTGCTGAACAATGAAAGTAGCGGAAGCGTTGACACGATCTAAATGCTTAAAAGACAAGGAAATTCTAGTTTCGTTATTTTTCCTCTTTTTATTGTTAATAATAAATTTAAATGCCACCACCCTGTCACGTGTATCGTTCGCAAAGCTCCCTGAGAATTTTACGTAACTTGTCCCACAGCTCAGAACACAATGATAATGTAGAATACTATTGTGAAATTCAACAGAACATTTATTCGCTTTATACTTGGTAAATTTGCCAAGAGTAATCAGAAATCCTTACTTACATTTGGCTACACAATCGTGCCAAGTGGTACCAACCAATTCAACCGTAAGACAACTGTCAAATCGAATCTGGTATATTTTAATTGAAACAGCAACCGTAGTTTTCTATGCTAGTAGAGTTGTACCGACTGACGTCAGACGGTAAACTGGAATTTATAGTCAGACAAGAGAAATTAAGTATATCTTTATCGGTGAAAAAAATTTTTCTTTTAGTCTCTGATTGCAGCTGTCAACGATTAACGCATGCCAATATATACATACGCACATAACTATGCCCGAGTAAGCACGTGTGTGCATGTGCATTTTTCAAAGTGCACTTCATACAGGAAGTGCAGCAGGTTCTACCATTAAGCAGTTTACACTGCACTTCACGGTCGACGTATTTGTCGTTTCAGTTGAAAATAATGCTACTAGGATAAATAAATCCAACTAATAAATCAACGTGTAACATATAAAAATAAAAAATAAACCAACTAATACCCATACGCGTAATATTTAACTACAGTTGATATACGGATTGTATACCTATGTATAATATATATAGTAATAATTATATCATTAAAGATAAACCGTCTGCCCATCGGACAAAAAGCTGACAATTATTATAATTAATTAAAAAATGATTATATATTATAGTTAATTATAAAAATACTGTTACGTAAATGCGATATAGAATTTTTAGATCTCAGGTAATAAAATTGAATCGCTCATATTGCGTAGGTCGGGACAAGCCGATTGGTCGTCGCGATAGCCAACTTGAGTTACCGATCGAAAGTTTAGTGAGTTGTTTGAAGTTACGCAAATGGCATGCTCTAGATTTTGATCCGCGTCCATTTTCGGTTTGCGCCAGCTTCCCTCTTCGTGTAGCAAGTACATAGGGATACGAGAAACCGGCTGGACAATCTCTTTGTGTATTTTTCGCAATTCGTAATTAACATTCGCAAAGTGCAATTCTCTTATATATGAATTTCTTAAATCGCATAGCACGTCGCACCAACAACGTAGGAAAGCGTCGCTCACGTGTGAACGCAACTTCGTCCCCTATTTATATTTAAATCTCATTCTAATTTCTCGGCTGAGTTTCCAACGGCAGTTTTCGCAAGTGCGGCGCACCGATCGCGACTAATTCGTTCCGTGGGAAATTACGGCTAATGACTCTTTAGAATCCATGGAAATTCCCAATTTGGTCATAGACTTCTCACGACCCAATTACAACGGTATGTCGATTATTACGATTAACAGCATGTATATAGACATGTACACGCGTTTGTATATCTATATATACATTTGATAGACTTTTTCTACATATGAATATTACGTTGTAAAAGCATTTTCCAACGGAAATATCAGTTACTTTTGTTTCTATATCACGTTTCGTATTCTGACGTCAACGATGACGTCACTCAAGTATATATGTATCATATGTAATATATAGTTTTAAGATAGCATAGGACAACACCTCGAATTAAAAAAGAAAAGTAAATTTTTCACATTACTCATACCGTTGTTGTAGAATCATTGATAGATGGAAAATGACGGATGTTCGATTAAATGAATATAATTATTGGATGATGTACGAAATTTCTTTTTTATTTCATGTCGAAAGAAAATATTACTTTGGTGCATCTTCCAGCCAGATGCATGTATGCAGTTTTAATTGAGCACCTTTTATTAATGCACAGTTAACTGGCTTAATGGTAATAGTATGCAATTACGAGATGCAGAGTTGCGAATAATTTGTTCGTGAGAATGGGAATTGATAAGGAATACATGTAGCGACGATATTATATATGCTCCGATGTATGCGAGGTTGCCGTATCAAGGCGCAATTGGGATATTGAACTTTGGAACTTTTATTTTATAATTATCCTTGATTTTTATCTTTTCGATTTTTCCTGTGTCCAGGAAAACGCTTTGTCGATTTAATGAATTTTTTAATTCATGTGCAAAAATAATATCGATCGTCTTTTAGATGACTGTAGGTAAATTTATCTCTTTTGAAATTGGTACGTTTTACTGTCGTATCTTTGCACTTTTCTTTGGGCCATTTATGATTGTGTCCATTTTCAGGTTACCATTTGTTTAATCGTCACCGCCCGTCATGACTTCCATGAATTCTGAAAATTATACGTGGTTGGGTTTTATTATTGTTTTTAGGTAATATCTTTGTTGAGCATTAAATTTTACATTATTATTTAAATTATATAATTATTTACCGTCAAAGTCAAGAGTACCCGAACCGTCAGCATCAATTTCCTCGATCATCAGGTCCAATTCTTCCGGCGACAACTTGTCGTCGAGTTCGTGCAAAATGTCACGAAATACGTCAGTAGTTATGTAGCCGTTTCCTTCTTTGTCGTAAAGACGAAATGCCTCTCGCAATTCTTGCTGCATCGCTTCCGTATCTTCTTCAACCAAAAATCTTGCAGCCAGCGTACAAAATTCTTCGAATTCAAGCTCGCCGGAGCCTGCGAAGAGGAAGGTTATTTTTTTGAAAATTTTTGGCTTATCAATTCAAAATTTCATACCGTCCTCATCGACCTCGGAAATAATTTCTTGAAGAGTGGATTCACTGAGTTCGTGGCCAAGCATAGTTAAAATGGTGCCAACCATGTCAGTGCCGATGCAACCCTTTTTGCCTTGGTCGAAAGCATCGAAAGCTTTTTTGAGCACTAAATATTGAAAACGAAAAATTCATTAGTCCTTTGAAGTAAAAGAAAAAAAAAAGTTGAAATTTAAAAATTTATAAAATCGTTACTCACGCACGATCTGATCCTTGGTAAGATCATCCTAGAATTACGAGAAATTAAAAAAAAATTTTAATATTTTCACTCTTATTTCATTAATTTATTTTATCACGATTTTTTGAAACTCACCATTTTTTGGAATTATTTTTTTTTTCAACCAGATACTATTGTTCTTATAACACGACGAAACTCGGTTGAGCTTTCGACCAGCACTGCACGTAGATTTGAGCTTTAAGCGTTAAAGACTATTCGCCTGGCCAGCGAATTAATAGGTAAAATGCGAATCTAGCGGTTTTCAAAGTTCCCCTACCTTAAAATCCCTAACTCGTTTCCAACATCGCGATCATAAAGCGCCGAGACGTCTAAAAGAATTCTTAAAGCTCGACTTTAAAATAGCGTAACGAGCGAACGAGAATTGGCCGTTGAAAAGCAGGCATCTCGAATTGCCACGAGCCTTGGCATAATTATTAGGATCGTTAGAAAAGATTGATTAGATTTACTTTTCATCCTCTTTATCCTCATTTATAATAGAACGTTCCTTTGAGTCATTACAATGATTACAAATTGGATCACAGGGCTCTGACGACTCTGAACACAGTAATTGATAAGGATAAAAATAACAAGATTCTTTTTTACAATATATTCATAAATATTATTAAAAGCAAATAACAAATTCTTATGCACGATGAAAATTTTAATTATACATTTGAATATGACTCAGATGGAATTGCATAACAAGGATTTACAAATCGTTCTTACTAATTATGAATAAAACGTTTCATCTACATTTTTACATAATGCGAATCTCGTTACGTCTTTTGTACTCTATAATGCTTCACTGAGAAACAATGCAAACATAACAATGATTGCCATTGAAATAATATGGCATTTAATCAGTCTCTCACGATTTCTAATATTACATATTGTAAATAACAATAAAATTATTTCTCATGGCATTCCTTCCTTTTGGGAAATTATTTTTATTATCATTTTGACTTCCGTCATCGAAGTTCCATATGAGGATGACGATCACTCTCCCGTCATGACGGCCATGAATTCTATCGAAAAGAAATTTAACGTCGTTCCAATTAACGAATGATCGCCACTAATTATAAAACTGCCAATTACTTAATTAGCTCTCAGACGAAAAATTAATGATGAAATTTTAATAAATCATCAATTAAATTTTACCTTCGAAATCCAAAGTTCCCGAACCGTCAGCGTCAATTTCTTCGATCATCATGTCCAATTCTTCTGGTGGAATTTGATCGTCGAGCTCGTGAAGAATATCACGAAATACATCAGTGGTGATGTAACCGTTTCCTTCCTTATCATAAAGCCTAAAAGCTTCCCTAAGCTCCTGTTCCATAGCCTCTGTATCTTCCTCGACTAAAAATCTCGAAGCCAAGATGCAAAATTCCTCGAATTCCAATTCTCCAGATCCTGAGAAAAAAATTGGTTAAAATTTTTTTTTTTATTTATCAATTCGAAATTCCATTACCTTATAAATATTTTTTATAATGATTCTTACCGTCTTCGTCTATTTCCGAAATAATCTCTTTCAATGTATCTTCACTGAGCTCGTGTCCAAGCATACCAAGAATTGTACCGATCATCTCAGTACCTATGCACCCTTTTTTCTCATGATCAAATGCATCGAAGGCTCCCTTCAATTCTGTACAATTTTCACAATTATTTGACATTATAAAATTGCATAATCATAATCAAAGATACTCACGAGCAACTTGTTCCTTATCGAGACCATCCTAAGATTAGGAGAAAAAAAGATGAAAAATGAAAAAAATTCATTTTACCTTAAAAGATAAAAAAAATTATTTTTTTTATACTATATAATTTACCATGGCGATGAGAAAGTAATTAGTCGATCCAAACGTATCGTGAATCCGTTAACGAATGACTAATCAATCAATGCAACAGTCTAATTTAAAGAAATGATGGAACATCCTATGTGACATTGTTCTAGTAGATTACAATGATAAACAAGGCTAATCTATACCAAATAAAAGAAGATTTATCGATCGCACGCCACTCAATCTCTATATCGATCAGTGGACGATTCTCGAATCGCCGATAGATATTATCGATCATCAATTACAAATTTGACCAACAGCCAGTAACCGATCGTGCCTAACCAGTCGAAGGTAAAATTACTGCAGTTTACAATGCATTTGTCATTACGTCATCAAATCATCAGCCACGTAGCTACTCGAAAATCCTAAAGCAATCATTTTGACCCATATTCAAATTTCGTAATGATCTACAAGCACAGTAATAAAGATCAAGAAAACATCAAAGGTCCTACTCGAACATGTGGTTCGAGTTGTCAACATCCACGTGTTGAATGTTTCCGCAAGTCAAACGTCATTTTTGACAGGAACAACAAGCTCCACGTGCATTTTACTAATGATCTTTCATACGCGTTAAAGTCGTACTTGGATTTTCCCTGAATATGTTCGGAGTCCCATTGGCAATGGCACAACCGTAAATTTTGGCTACCAGCCGAAATCCGTACAGTCAGGCCTAAGATGGCTCTACCCAATGGACCAAAGTGTTTTATTATTAGACAGCTCAATGTATAATTACAGAGCCCGGTAGAAGCCATTATATATAGATTGTATCTATTGTCTATTAAAATATGCTCTACTATACTCCGCTTCTATAGAAATACAAACTATAGTATATAATTCATTAGAAGTCTATACTGTACAGTGTTTCCGGTTATTATTATAATAGCATATACTTCAGCATATGACTATACCATAGCACGTGGTAAATGGCAATAAAATCAACAAATGATTGATCAATAATTTCTATACGATTCTAAAAGTACTACTTGTATAATGATATATGATTTATATTTTTTTTACACTTTTTTCCTTTCGACCGACATATTTTGACTTCAAACGGACCGACTTAAATGTGCGAACGATGGTTGTAAAAATTTCATTGCTGGCTTCGGTATTGAATGATTTAAGAGGCGGGTATCACTGTACGCGTTAACGTCTTGTTATCGCCTTGGGGCTTTGGCAGAAGTTTTGAGGAAGTAGGGTGCTGCTTTCTTTTTTTACGTTTTCGCGCAAATCGTTCCTCCCAATGCAGGGGCGTGTTACGATTCTCGGAAAATGCATTTACTTTTTTCATTATTCTTTCTCTTTCCTGCCATCCGAACGAGCCTCGTGTAATTTTGACTCGTTACGCTAATTTAAGGGACGACGTGTCGTATTAATATCGCAGGAATTTTATAAAAGGATATTATGTATAAATAAAACGAATGGGTATAACGAAAATTATTATTACACAATATTTAATTAAACCTTTCGTACTTATTGTCACTTGTAATAAAAATACATAGAAAAAAGTTGACCGGTCTTGCGATGCAATTTGAGAGAATTTGGTATTTCTTGATGACAGGTATTAAAAAAAAAATAATTTTATCGTTCAAGAGAATTTAGTATTATTCGAAAATAATTCTAATATATTGCAAATGATTTTTTGAATTTGACCTAATTTTAGTTGCTTCGTCATTAACCCGTCATGACTTCCATGAATTCTGTAAAAATGAAAAATGACAATGATTTATATATATTTTTTAATTCCTTTCTACGTATATATGCATTCACCTTCAAAGTCCAAAGTGCCCGAACCATCAGCATCAATTTCCTCAATCATCATGTCCAATTCCTCAGGCGACAATTTGTCGTCAAGTTCGTGAAGAATGTCGCGAAATACATCTGTAGTTATGTAACCGTTGCCTTCCTTGTCATAGAGACGAAAAGCTTCGCGCAATTCTTGTTCCATGGCTTCGGTATCCTGATCTTCTTCTAGGAATCGTGACGCGAGCATGCAAAACTCTTCGAATCTCAACTCGCCAGTGCCTGAGAAGTATGATTAATTTGTCGAGCATGTTATAAAAATATTAATCGCATATAAGATAATAATAAGTATGTAAAATATTAATTTTGGATAAAAACATTTTATCACCTGCAGTATCCACTTCTGCTATAATTTCTGTCAACGTATCCTCCATCAGCTCGTGTCCCAGCATCCCTAAGATCGTACCAATCATATCCGTGCTGATGCAACCCTTTTTCTCGTGATCGAAGGCGTCGAAAGCCATTTTGAGATCTGTGAAGAATAGTGGATTAAAAAAAAAATTTGTTTAATTAATCAAAAAAATTTCGGATTAAAAAAATCTGTTATCACTCACGAGCAATTTGTTCCTTGCTTAGATCATCCTGTAATATCGATAATTAAAGCACTTTGATTAATTAAGTCACGTGTAATATTTTTATGTCTTTTTTATTATTAAATTTCATTTACCATCGTTGCGTATATTAATTACGATTTTTTCCACTAAATGATCTCCGACGAATCAAATGATTAGACGACGACGAGTTCTTCTCTGATACCGCGACTGATCAACGTTAGCCGTTACGTTTTAAAAGGCCGATTCTTTCTAATAGATTTCGGAGCCGTTAAAAACGTCACCCAGCATCCGATGGACCAATTAGTCATTGGATCAATGTATGCAATCTGACATTCCTCGAGGTGACAATAGATCATCGCCAAAGATCTGTCATCGAGGATACGCTATAAAAAGATTTTTAATCGATTGCCACGTTCGATCCTTCGTTATCAGTAGAATCAAATGGATATCAGTGTACGAATCGATGCTAATATTGACTTTAATTACCCAATAGTTAAAATTGAATGATTTCCCTGAAAAATGAAAAAAAAAAACAAATAAAAAATAAAAAATTACCTTAATAATTGTACATTTTTTATTTTCCTAAGTTTTCAAAAATATTTGAAAAAATTATTGGCATCGATTTCAAAAGAATTCAAAGCTATCGATATCCAATTGCTTTGTTGCTATTCTTGGCAATCATCGACTTCCAGATCGAAATCAATTGTATCGATTGTTCTATGCCAAAAAAATAATTTACCACCACAGAAACGTTCAGTTGTTTAATCCTCATGTTGGTACCTTTTATAGAATTACAGTCGATTGCCAAAAGTTCCCAAAACTCTCCGATGCTCGTCTGGCAACAGTCTGCAGCCTTGATAGACATAAAGCGAATCTCTTAGCCAATCAGATAACGCGTTGATGTACTCGGCAAAAGTTTCTGCTCAGCAGATATAAATAGCTGTTACTGTACTTTCATCTAATTACAACGGTACAATTCGCTCGCGAGTACCAACAGTCAAAAAATTATCGCGAAAAATTTTGCTCGATTACCATCGGTCGTTTCCCTTTTTCATTCCCTTTTACACCTCGCGAAACGATCTCACGTATTTTTCTGCAAGTGCAAAACCATCGCGTGCATTCGTTACTTTACGCGGAACGAACTGTAGGTGGCATGGTTATTTTAACAGCCGTCATAAAATCTTTACGATTGCGTATAAAGGGGAGTTCACAATAAGGAAAAAAAAAGTATATAATTCATCGAACACATACATTGTTTAATTTTCGAAAAAAAAGAGGAAATTCAAAAATTCAAATTACTCTAATATCACAGCATCATTTCCGTTTTCGTATAATTTATCAAAATTAAAGTTCACTAATGTATATCCGAATTGTTGTAAGATCAGCGAAAAATTCAATGATTTATATATTTTTTATTTATCGTCAATTTTCCTGATTCCATTCTTCGTCTCTGGCCGAGTCCACATTCAGCGACAATGACGGTATCAAGCCGTGCTGCGGATGAGGCGGAAGCGGCGGTGGCACCTGGACTTCCTTTAAGCTGATTTTATTCTTGATCCTTCCGATCCTCCAGGACATCAGTTGTCCCACGGTAGGTTCGATACCGGAAACGTAACTGGTACCACTGCTGTGAGAACTGACACCGGAAGTATTGGAATCCTTTCTGATCAAAGGTCTCCGTTTTCCAATGGGGGTGATATACCCGGTGGTATGGAATGTTTCGGATTCGTTCGAAACTTTCAAAGTCTTGCCATTCCTACGTGAACTGATCTGTACCCCTTCCGGAAGTACGATCGCGTCGGCTGTTCTGTGTCTGACCACCATGACGCGTTTGCTGCCGCGTAGGAGAGCTGGATTTCTCCTGATAACGAAAAAAGACAAGAGCGCACCTAAGATGCAGAAAGATATCACGAGCGCCGATAACAGAAGGATCGCCGTGACTTTGTGGCGATTGGTGAGCCAGACTCTTGATTCGTAAGTGGGTTTTGTCATAAGAGGTAAACAATTGAATGGCGATGGATTTCTTTCGTCTTTTACCATAAGACATATCACGTAAGAGCTCCCTGGCTGAAGATCCGATACGATATAGGAGCTTTTAATGTTTTTGACACATTTCACAAATTCCGTTAACGACTCGTTCGTATACGTCGTTTTGCTCTTGTACCAGATAAGCGTGAACGTTGCGTCGGCCGACGTCAAATTTATTAACACTGTATAGTCGTCCATTTCTTCGATCGAAAATTCTGGATACCTCGATTCAAATTCGTAATCCACCGTGGATAATAATATTCGCGAATTCTTTCGCCAGTCGGACAAATCTTGGCAAATCAATTTCACCGTATTTGGATCTCCGCGTATTTCGGTGGTTGGATTTGCCGTTGTTACGTTTAACGGAAGTTGAGAAAGCGTTGTGCCATCTTGTGGAAATGCCGTTGACGAATCTTTGGTTGTTTCCGGTGTGACTATTGGAACTTGACTCGTTGAGATTTCGCAAAATGTGGCGTCGACGAATGACTTATCAGTGTTATATAACGGGGTTTGACAGTTTGGTATTGCTTGGAAAATATTTGGATGATCCTTGATCAAACTTTTCATCCATTCAAGCTCGCAGTCGCAATTCCAAGGATTTTCGTGGATTGTTAATTTGAATTGCTTATTGGAGTTTAGTATGCTGCTTAAAAGTAATTTGGACAGTGTTGTGATCTTGTTGTTGTTCAGATTTATCTGTCGTATCGACTTGGCGAATGGGATGAATGAACTTTCATCGATTTTTTGAATTTCCGATCGATCCATGTATAACGATTTTACGTTCGGTATACCCTGAAATGTGACTGATGATATTTTGCGAATTGAATTGTCCCTTATTGATAATATTTGCAATTTTGGCAGGGACGTCTTTCCTGTCAGATTGTACAGGACATTCACGTCGTATATCGATTGATCCAGCTGGAGACTTTGCAAAGTCTTTCCAACGTATTTCAGTAAATTCGGATCGACTTGAATTATACGATTTTCACGAATCGATAGTGACTGCAGATTAGAGAAATTGCGGAAAATCAATTTTTTAAATGACTCAATATTATTTCTCGTGATGGACAGACTAGTTAAATCTTTGAATATATTTTTCGAAAATGCATTTTCATGGATTTCGATCAATCGACAATTTTCAAAGGTCAATTCACTCAGTTTCACGTCAATTTTTAACCATGATTCGCATAATTTATTTTCCGGAAATGTGCTGTTAACAAATTTCAATCTCAGCACCGTGTTGGAATTCGCACACATTTTCTGCAAACGAAAATACAAATTGTCAAAAAATGACTTATCGTCCAGTCAATCAGTGTATTAAAATTTTCGAACTTACGAATACATCGCTTACCCTCGAAAAAAAATAATGTATCGAAAATCCAACAAAAATGAAAATTATATAAAAATAAAGAAAATTCATTACTTTGTAAACCGTATCGATAAAATTTCCTGCAATTTGTCCAGCATCCATATTACCCGGTACGGAATTACAGGTAACAGTACCGCAGCTTTCGATGGAGCAATAACTCTTCGACTGGACCAATAAATTCGCACTGAATTTTTCCTCGAGCAAATTTTCCCCACCATATTCATAATTCTCCGCAGTAGTAACGAAAAACGCTTCTTTCGGCAGATTTGAAAATGCATCACAATACCAAATCATTAAAACATGTACACCAAGTGCAACAAGCAGCAGACACATGGTGCAGCTAAGTATGCATCTAAAAAATTATAAAAAATTTATAAAAAATTTATATTATTATTATTCCTTGCAAAAAAACAAAATGAAAATCATAAAAATTTGAACAAATTATCAAGTCACTTGAATAATAAAAAAAAAAGCTCAACCGGATACTGACCTGCACCAAAAGTGACCTTTACTTTTACGCAATACAATTTCCTCTGTATATTTTGCTGCCATCACGACTCCTGGTGGATACGACATGTTCCTCCAGTAAGGATCACAAACATCTGCCAGTAGGTGAACGATAACGTTAACGTAACTTTTGCGTTAGCGTCGAGAACTCGATCGGCGGCTTAACACACATTAGGATCCCACACAGATCCGTTCGGTACGGATTAAAGTTGCCATGTGCACGTAGATATAAGTAGTCCTCATTAATCACAAATCCATATAGAATCAGTGCCCCGTAGCGTATTGATTTACGTATAGAAAAAAATGCACTTTTTCGCTTTTTCAAAAAAAGACAACAAATTTCCAGATTAAATTCACGGCCGACGTCGATTCAATCGTAATTCGTTAAAAAGTAAAATTCCGGACGAGATCTTTCGCGATGCTTCCAATCCTAAACCTTATCCATTGGTTTATCTAGTGATAAAGTGCAGAAAGTTCCACGTGATCGACCAGTGATTCTCTCGCGTGCTCAAGCTCATCGAGCTTGTGACTCGTAATTTTTTGTATGATGATAAATTTATTAATTTTCATACCATGATATATAATTGTGAATATTCATCTGATTAAAACAAAAAATTATTCCTTTTTGACCAAATTTATCGAGGATGAACATTGTAAAAAAAAAAGTAATATAAAAAAGTTTTTATCAATGAAAAAATTATATCCTCCACGTGGCATTGACAATGGAACCAAGTGTAGCCAGATGGCTGTTACTAGTTGAATTGACATTGATAATGGATATTACGTACAGTACTCGAGCTTGCAGTGCTGATAAGACTCGTGTCGTCTAATTGAACGTTGATTGACGTCCCCGTGAAATATTTTTTTTAAAGTACACATTAATCGAAAACATAAAAATTTTTGTAACACAAACGTAACAATCGACGCGATAATGGGATTAAAAATAAAAATGAATTAAAAATGCGTATAATTAATTTTTATTCGGTTCAAAGTACGACATATACATATTATTAATTAACGACATAATAAACAATGACATATAGATATTAGAATCTGAATAGGTGTGACACGTGTACTCGAATTATAGATACGCGAAGAAATTGTCATTGATATATATAATAATAATAATAATAACAACAACGTATATCAGTAATCGCATTATAATAATATAATAATTATACAATATTTATTGACATATACATATACGTGTGTGTATATCATGCGTCACGATTCGCCTTATCGATATATCCCGTGTCTGCATACGTCTCTCGTATATTAATATATTCATTTATATAACATCGATACAACTTTAGGCATATACACATATACTGATACAACATTGTACAATCACGATCTTAGGACAAAAAGACGAATAAACATATAGGCATGAAAAAAATGGAGTGGCATATTTTTTTTTCGATTTTTCAAAACAAAAAATCATTTTTTATTTCCTCGTAATGATCTAATCGTGATCCCTCCTCCAGAGCACTTCACTGATCAAGCTCATCCAAAATGCATCTGTGCGGAGTCGAAGATAATTTTTTTCAAAATTAAACAAAAAATTACTCGAACACCGTCATTTCCTTTTTGCACGCCAGAGGGATACGTTCCTATCGCAAGACTGTGAATGGGACTTCTAATCGTCGTTACTATACAAGCTAGAAAAAATGATGGACTGTAGGTAGTTTAGGTAAGTAAGGTATGCTGCCGGGGTTGACTCGTCGGAAGCGCCGGCAACGATCTGACACTGTAAGAGACTGTACAAAAATACCGCTTATTAATTAGTTACAATAAAATTGACGCACCCGACGAGTATCCCACCCGGCAATAGATATGTCTCGACATGGTTCATGGGGGATCGCGTAGAGCCAGCCTACCGGCTCGACGATCGCGCCCTTTAAATCTCTCACTTATCAGCTATAAAAAACAGTACTAAGGATCAAATTCTAATAACGCATCTAAACGCTAGAGTGCCTTGCGTTAATAATTTTCGCACAACGAAAGCATCGCCGTATGCCGGAGATATAGCTTTTATTTGTCTTTTTTTTTTTAATTTATTTTCGAACTACCACTCATGGGCTTCTTTTTATAATATTTTTTTTTACTCATATTCCGCCAACCAAGTTGCACCGACCGATCGGAAATGTTTGTACTGATCGTGCCGGTCCGCTCAATGATTTATCCCGCGGCAAGATCAGATCGATTATTACGAATATGCCGCTTGCGCACCCTGAGCTTGTAATAGGGCCTGCCGAGAGTCGCATTTGGCGTATCTCGATTTTAAAAATTATAATTTCGTTTGGTATATGATCTACGGGAATTTTTGCTAACGATCTATAAGAGTCATTGAGAAATTAATTTACAAAATTTATATACCCGTGCAACTTGGGTGGGGATTGATTGTTTATTTGATTGCTTTATTATAAAAAAAAAAAACATTCAAGTGCGTATTAATGTATATATATATATATATGCGTGTATAATATATATTATATATGTATGTATAACGTACATGTAGATATTAACAAATAAATTCTCTTAAATTCTCATGCTTGCAAAGATATGTATGCACGTGATGTGTATTTAGTGGTTTTGCATTGGCTAAGCCATCGATGCGTGTAATATTAATTAGTTTAATTTAAAAAGACAAATTTTGAGATTACAAATGATATGTAACATGCATCCAGGACGATTCGTCTTGAATACCGATCTTGTAGATCAAGAGAATATCCTGTTGGAAGCAGTGTGACAAGGATATCAGGGAAGCAGGTGAAGGTTTCGTAAATTTCCTGAATGTTATTAGTATCCATGATTTTCATCGAAGGGATCGATTAGGATCGATTCTATTGATTGGTATATTATTCTTTCGTTATTTTCAATTTTTAATAATATCTGTCTCACTCTCATTCGTACACTCTTATCCAGTTCTCTCTCTCTCTCGAGCCACATCTAAAAGATTCTCACGTCAATTTTATCCCACGACTACCAACGTCATCTTAAATCGCTCCTCTTATCTGTTATCTATATTAAATTTAATTATCTTATACAGCCGTGGTAACCCTGACCACGATGAACTTAGATCTAAATTATTTTAGTTAATTTAAATTAATTATCTAATCGCATTACTCTTCTTGATGAAACGTAGAAACGTGATACTCGATACACGTGGTATCGTTTATGAGATAATTTTGCACGTGCCAAATTTTCATTTCCCTGGCAACGTGCGAGGATGACACAATTTTTTTTTTTAATGTCTAACGTCGTTACGTCATTAAATCTTTACAGTTCTGCATGGCAGGTTGTTCGGTACGTGATGAAATTATGTGCCAATTTTTTTTTTTTTTTTTGGATTACGAAAAGTCATTTTTAGTGCTTCTGACGTGATATCACTGCAATTTTGCTCTTGACATTGTACAAGTGCATCTTTGCACTACTTCGCTCCTACGTATGAGCGCTCGCACGTAATGCGTCGAAGGAGGCTAGGAGGTTAACACTTGTTATCAGCTATCTCAAAAGCAACCAATGAAGCAGATTGGCTTTGACAAGTGTCGGCTTCCTGTTGAGGACATTAGGAGTCATCACAAGTCATTACGTCGTTTCAGGCATTGCAGTCTGAATAAGCGCAGAGTTCATTAAAGCGATTCTCAAGAAAAAGTGTCGAGCGATCAATTGCGTGATTAGAAGAAGGCGACGTGTATATTTTTGGAAAAAAAAATCTGACTGGATACGTGAATAATATATTTTACATTATCAAATTTTTGGATTAAACTTTTATTTATCATTCACGAGAATCGAACAAACCTGCCGTGCGAAATATCGTATGAAATTTTTTAATATCTAATTGATCACCCTTTTTTCAAAATTTTTTTTCTTATTCTCACGTTCCTTTCTAGGAATCAACTGATATGTATTACTGTATGATCTTCTGACGTGAAACGAACGGTTTTAGATTATTTCGAAATTCCGATCGTTTCACGTGACGAGCTTGCGCTCTTTCGAGAAAGATTGATAAATATATTTTCAAAATTCTTGGCAACACTTTTGATATGTATTGTTTGGTGAACAAAGCTCGGCCGCGTCGCGACGATCCTCCCAAAAATCGTGGAGAACGCGATTTTTCTTTTTATTGAAAGATATTGGATCGATGATCGAGGATGATCCGTATAAAGGATCGATAGGTCTCTCTCGAAGATCCGTGAATAAATATTGATGGGAAAGAAATGGCAAATAATAAAGAAAAATGATAAAAAAGAAGAAAACACATTACACTCGATAGATAACAAATGATAAGGGAGAAACTAAATGTCGTATGATCTCGCGTAAGGGGCATATCGATTGTCAAAGACAAATTCGACGATTTTTGTACAAAAGTATACCGTAAAAAAAATAAAAATATTCATTCCGATCGATTTTATTATCAGTCGTGAAATCGTTATTAGAAACTAAACGTATCTAAACGTAATTTCATTTTCGCACAAAATGCGATTCGCACATGGAATATATTTCCACATGTATTTTCGCGTGTAAATAGAACTTTGACTTTCTTGATCTTTACTTTCTTTCGTTATTTTTTTTTCTTTTTTTTTTACATAAACGACCATGATCATCCGATACGCATTAAAGATGCATTCTGATCGAACTCATCTAAGATGCTGAAAAGATCTCAGGACGGGCATTGAAAAGCTCCATCGTCCATCGATTGCCTTTTGGCAGTTTACAAGAGAGCGACAGTCCCAGAAAGCGCAAGAAAATGAAGACTCAGCGTACAGAACGAAGCATGTCCTGCTGACGAAGTCCTTTCGGCATTTTTCCCAACGCAGCCCATCCTTTCCAGTGGTATATTCTGAACTGAATATTCTCTGTGTTCGTTCACCATGGTACAGACGGTCCTCTTCTTGGACATCATCTCGTCATCCTTATCACGAAGATTTTTCAACCAGGCCGCGAACCATCTTAATTCGCAATCGCATACTAGAGGATTATCTATAAAAGAAAAGTGAAAAATATATTTTTGATTTTGATAATTAAAAAAGATAATTTTATCACGCTAATAAAAGACTTACCGGTAATATCAATCATCTTCAACGTATCCACTATGTTGTCCGTAACGTCCTCAGGTATGTGAACCAATTTATTATTCTGCAGATTCAACGACTCCAGGGAGCTGAGAGACTCGAAGATCATCGGCGGCAGGACCTTGATTCTGAAATGCAATTTCCGCTTTAGACAGTTCCGATAAGTCGCCATGTGAATTACCTAACGAATAAATAAAAAGGAGACAAGAATTTTCCATAAACAAGAGTAACCGATAAACGGAAATGATCCTGTATCGAATAAATAGGCTGGTTTGACTTTGATAGTATAAAAGATGAGAAAATGGATATCAATATTTTTAATATATATGAAATTTCACAGATATCCTTCCGGTTATCGAACGAATGTCTGGCTACTTTTCTTTAAGAAAAATCCTAGTTTTCACAATCTGGTCTCAACTTTATTCTCAGCTAAAACGAAACTCCCATCTGCCATTACAGTCGAAACGAATCGACCTCCGCTGTTCTTGTCTTCGACTCACGTAGCCATACGTGTTCCGCTACACGTATCCAAGCATAAGTAACTACTTATACGATGGGCTAGTTCTCATCGTAAACTAAACTCTCTACGTCGCTATGAAAGTTTGAGGAGAAAATATTTGCGATAGTAGCTTAATGTTCAGGACTCGTGCGAATTACTGCACGGGGAATACCCGGGGAAAGACACTTGTACGGCGGTTGGGTGTTCTAGAAGGTTTTCAAAAGGTCAAATTGCCACCGCGAAAATACTAAAGTTTTACCATAAATTCGTTAAAATGTCTCGCGAGACATTTTCTTCAGGTACCTCTGTCCCTTTTGGTTTCGACCTAAAAGGCCCATGCGAGCTTTTACAAAATTACAAGCTCATGCATAGACACTAAAGATTTTGACAGCTGTAGCGTTCATGTGTAACGTTAAAATTTAAATCTAAATTCTATTTCTCGCATTACTCGATGTATTCGTATTTCTCGAGACTTATTTTAATCTCTCACTATAAATATAACACAAAAACAAAGCTTCGTTAGGGAAGTTTTCAAAGTTGCGATTGAATTTGTTTTTTTACAGGATCACGATAGCACGAACGACAAGTAGTACAGAGAAGGTTCTGTTGTTTTGAGACGAATCTTGAAAATTTGTACAGAAATTCAAGTGGAATTATAAACAAGAAACAGTATACGTTTTCGCCAATTACTTGTACAACTTCGTCCACGCGAAGGAGGATCTAAAGGCAAGCGCGGGAAATACAAAGTTTCGTTTGAATGGTAATCGCGTTGTGACACCAAGAAACATTTTAAAAGTTGGTGGTAAATTTGAAATGTCTTATTCTAAGGAATAAAACGGAAAAAAGGAAAATTAATTATTACAGATTCTTCTGAAGATCAAGAAACGTGATGGAGTCTCCGTATCCCTTAAAGGCGTCGTCCGATAGTACTGTTATATTGTTCGCACGCAATTGAAGATGACGGAGACGATGGAGACGTCGTAAAGCGTCGCTCGGCACTGCGTGTAAATTGTTGTCACCCAGTCGAAGATATTGCAGATTTTCTAAAAAAAAAATTTTTTTTTTACTTTCTTCTCATTATTTGTCTTCTTCGTTGAGATAGCGTATATGTATACTGGATTGGAGTTATATTTCATGACAAAGGTAAGTGGATCAATTTTAGGTTATGGACGTGTATCATTATTTTGACAAGGTGACGTATACGTTATGTTGTTATCAAAATTGGTATTATCGAAAATTGAAATAATTACAAAAGATCGTACGTATGATAGATTGAAATATCGTAATTGGACAATTGTTACGAGTTCAAAGATCAAAAACAATATTAAACTAGAACATAAAAAGCAAAATTAAAAATCTTATAATTAAGTTTGTATACAACACAACCCCTGGTACATGTCGTATTTGGTTCTGTGTTACATAATCTTTTTGAATGGTTCAATATTGTTATTATTCCGACTGATAAAATTGATTGTCACTCGAGAATATTTTTTTTTCTTCAACAAGGGTAGAATTCATTGTTTAAAAAAAAAAGAATGTGTTAACCTGAATCATACATACTGGCGACCAACTGACCTTTGCCAGCGGATACTCGGGAACCTATTATACAAATGGTTCACGTGGCCTTTCGGGACCTAAAAGACGTTTGCGCAAACGTGAGTTTGCAAATGTCTTTTACATCTTTATTTCAGGTCCCGAGAGATTAATACCCCGATTACGATGCACCGGAGTAACAGTGTACCGAAATTTTGTATTTAAATGCAAGTTACTGGTGTGACAGATGAGACACGTAAATAAAAGTGAAAATGTGCAAAAAGTCCAAATTTCAATGTAAAATATTACATAAGATTCAATTCAAGTATTACGAAATCGAATTTACGTCGTATCACTGAACTTAAGAGTTTCATATAAAATTTATCCAAAAATTATTTGTTGCGATTTTTCTTCGAACCCCTACTCACCCTCCAATCCAATAAAGGCATCGGGATCCACGTGTGTAATTTGATTTCCATCAAGCTCGAGGGAGTTTAACTGCGTCAAGTGGGAGAACACACGAGCCGGAATTTCTCGCAGTTGATTGTGGGCCAGCCCTAACCAGTCTAAGCTTTTTAATCCTGTGGACACAAAAATTTAAGCCAGTTGGAAAAAAATCGACCTTTCATCGTACAGTTACATGAAAACAGGTTTGTCGTCCACCCCCTACAGCGTCTAGGGGCTGTACACCATTGTGTGCCATAAATAACTAAAGGCGGCTTTACACGTGTCCCCGAAATACAAATACGTTCTATCCAATAGAGACACCATTATATGTATATATTTTTTTTCAAAAACTTCGCCATTATTATACGTTTCGTTATATACGACAAAAAATTGCCAACCTCTGCCATCGTATTTCAAATTGGCAAATAATGACGTAAAAGAATCACTCAAAACTGCAGGGAGTACTCTTCGACAAAGTTCTTACGACGCCATCCATGAAAACTGAAGATTAATGGCCGCCTCCTGGAAACTCGTTCACTTTATTTCTCTAATGCGGTAATAATGACTGCAACGACCAACCGTAAGAGAGAAAAAGGATGGTTTGATTTATTATTGGCATTCGCTAGTGAATTCCTAATGGATCTTTCCGTTGTACGTCTTTCAGTGACACCTTCCTTCTCACGCAGACAATTAATACAGCGGGGAAACAAGGATGCTGTATTTAAATGGAGGCTTGAAAAGATTTCACTAGATAACCAGAAAGATTAGCCAATTCCCAATCCATTGCAGTAAGTATCCCGTTGGAGCCATTTAAACCCAGGAAGTTCTTTGCCGAAAGTCAAACTTGTACAATTTAACTTTTCTAGATTAAGTCTTTTTCCCCTTATACCGATTACCGTCTTTATACCGGGTTACATGAACTCTTGGTATATTCAAAATTTATAAGAAACTATTTTTATGCTTGAAAATTATTATCATAGATATATAAAACTGTATATACATATATATCATTTCTGAAATAAACAATGTGTTATCTATTTCGTGTACACGTGCTCGTACTGAATATCTATGTATTGTGAAACAATTTGTACGATTGGTTGTGCAATTTTTTTCGGAGAAAATTTTTTCTATTACATACTCGTCCTTTTTCCCGTTATACGTTTTTCGGAAGAAAGTCACCAAAATGGATTTACCTTGTTCGGTATACGTGGAACGGTAAATTCAACTTACCGAAGTACTTTTCTTTTTTTCCCATTTCTTACTTATCTTTTTATTTTATTTTTCCAACCTTTCCAGTCGGATTCGTTTATACGTATGACAGTAAAGCTACTGATAGACACACAGTCCATTCGCTATTCCTTTACATGATTCATGATCGAAGACTATACCAAGCAACGGTTTGAAATATGTGGCTTAAGCGATATTCAGGATATTTCAGTCTTTTCAGTCTCTGACAAATATTTGAATTTGCTATTGGATACGAAAAAAGGAAGTTTTCAAGCGTGATATGAAAGGAAAAGGTAAAATAACGTTACTCGCGCTCCTAATTTGCATGATTTCATTTATCCTCAACACTCTAAGTTATTCGACTCCAAATTGGGAAACGAAAAACCGATTCGTAGAAGCCGAATTTTTTATGGGATAATTCGACTGAGAACACAAAAAAAGACAACACTCCCCTTCCTTCCTTTCTGTACCCCATATTTATTCCAGTAAAAAAATTTCAAATTTTCTTCAAATTAATTTCACTAACATAAGATCCCTTGTCGAAATACTTAACGATGAAATTCGTTCAAAGAAGCAACATGGCCACGAGCTGTTTTACAATTTAGTATCATAATCCGAGTGAATTGATACTTGATATTTTTCTTCGAGAAAACAACAGAGAAACTCTTTGATCTGTATCGATACGTTCAAGTAAAATAATGTATTTTTACCTTCAAAATCACCTTCCTGTATACGCGTGATCCTGTTCTCTTGTATCTCCAGTTTCTTCAGCATGTTCAATGTGGATAAAGCGGACGTGGGTATGCTCGTCAATTCATTCCCTCCAAGATTTAGTCGTTTGAGCTTGCGACTGGAATTAACAAGGAAGCATTAAATGGATCGAGGTTCGGAATACGTGTAAGAGCAGCCCAGTTACTCCAAGTGCAATGGTTAAATTGACTAATTATACCAAGGCATGATATTCGATGCAACTAAATCTTCCTTCGCGATCCTGTGCATTAGATGCAGTTGCAATTACTGCCAAGAGGTAATACAATCTCAATGTTATCTAGGAATACACTGCAAGTTGCATTAATGGAAATTCCAGCGGAACTGATAAATCTTGACACGTAAAGAAATAATATTAATTTGCTCCAAGTGATATTCATCATGAATACACTGTATGAGTATGAGAATTAATTCGCATCGAGTATACGTATACACTTGAAAATTCCTACTCACTTGTCCAGACCCTTGAAAGCATCAGGTTCGATAACGGAGATCTTGTTTTCATAGAAACTGAGAATTTCCAGAGTGTCAAGACCTTCGAAAGCTCGTCCATGGAGGGCAGTAATCTTGTTATGGTTGAAGTTCAGAATGAGAAGATGGTGTAGGGTTTTGAGTGCCGGCGAAGGAACGGCTGCCAGTGAATTTTGAGAGAGGTCCAATTGCGTCAGGCTCTTTCCTGAGGGAAAGTAAGAAAAATTGTCTATTCGATATCTGCTTGATTTTATACAAAATAAATTCAACGTCCAAGCTCAAAATTATTTAATCCTTTCACTGTCACTGGACGAGCATGATTTCTTATAAAAGATTTTTTAGTTCCACTTAAAATATATTTTATCTGACTCTTTGATTTTATTGAATTTTTATTCAATATTTACATACCGATCGAGCTAAGGGACGTTTCCTCCACCACTGCTAGGCTACTGTTGTGTATGGACAGATGATGAATATCCAGACCAAGGAAAACAAAACTCTGGAGCTTCGGTAACGTGTTGTGCCTAAGTTTCAGGTAGAATATCACGGCGTTTGAATTCTTCTTTAGGGCACTCATGGCGTTGCTGATGTGTGATGGATCTGTGAACTCGCAGAGGATGTCCAGGCCGTATTTTTTGACCGAGCATGAACACGGTGCAATGTCACCATGGGGTGGACAGCGCTGGACCGTTTGGCCAAGGGTCGTCATCAGGAGTGCTACTATCCACGTTATTCGACATATTTCCAATCTGTTTCCCTTCACGCTCATTTTTTACAGCTCCAAATTTCCAGCCACTCTCTTTCTCTTTCTTTTATACTTTTACTTTCTCTCTCTCTCTCTCTCTCTCTCTCTCTCTCTCTCTCTTTCTCCTTCACTCTATCCCCGTACCACCCTCCTGGTCTTCTCACTTTCTTTTTCACTCTCACACCCTTGCTCACTTCCAGTGCCTGCAGCCTGCTACTTCGACTCCACCCTGTTCATTGCCATTGTTCACTCTTTTGCGGTGCGACTTTACACCGAATCTGCAAGATCAGGATGGAATGGAAGTAATTAGTATGTTTTTCTTTTCTATTTCATTATCGTTAGGCACAAATATATCAGTTATGACCATTGAGGGGAGATCTCTGGTGTAATCAATACTTTTTATATATGTGTTACAAAATGCTAAGTATTATTGTTTATTGTTATATAATATACTTTGAGTTATCAAATATGATAATGATGAGCTTGACCTTTGAAACTAATATTGTTGCGTCATAAGTATCACTTATATCACGAGTAGTCAAAACGTACGTATTTCCGTTGAAGAAATAATTTTTAATAATCTTAAAGAGCCGATGAACCATGTATTTTGGGATCGCACGTAATTTCGCATTTAGACTCAAGTTCTCGAACGTTATAAAACTTTGATGAAAATCGTCCAAAGTTGTAATTCAGAGTGTAAGGTAGTATTGCTCAAAATTTCCCCCTCAAAAAAAAACAAAGTAATATCTCACTTTTTAATAGTGATATAAGGAAAATTGCTTCTTTCATAAAAGCTTCCCTCCGGTGTATGAAGTGGTCAGAAAAAAAAAGAAGAAAAAGAAAGAGGAATCCACTCCCTATTCCAAGACCGTTAAGCCACAAGGTACTTCCATTTTATCGTATTTTCTCCTTTTCCCTTTGTTTCACTTCTCCCAAATAACACTATTGTCATCCAACAGACACTATAGCATCACGGCACATTTTCAAAAGAAAAAAACCTTGCCAAATTCTCTCAAAAAAAAAAGCACAAGCGCCAAGGCAAAACTTCACTCCGGTTATCGTAGATTTTTCACACCCACTCACATAATCGATAAGATTTTTTAACCGATCCACGTGATCTTGACGATCCCGAATTTTGGCCACCACGTATAAATCGCTCGAGTCCGTATGAATCGTCTAAAGAAAAAAAATTGCACCGGAGCTATCACTTTTCATGCTTAATGGACCCGGGCGAAGGTCAACGATGCTCCTCTGTCGCGAAACTCTAAATGGCCAATCAAATGTCGTGAAGCTTGAAGATTCGAAACGTTCGGTTGTACCGGGCGCCTCTCGGTACCGTTGCGTTGTCGGAGACCTGGCTGCCCGATGCCAGCCCGTTGGCATCATCATTGGCTCGACTAATGGGTGGCTTCCGGTTTGGGGAATCATGACGTCATGCATCCTCGATAAGGGGATCCTAACCTGTGTAATATAGGGAGGTGGGAGGGCATAAGAGTTCAGCGTTTTTTTTTTTGTAATCAAATAATTTTTTTAACTTCCTTATCCTTATCTTTAATTTATGATCTTTTAAAATTGTTTTACGCACTTTATACTTCATTAATTTTTTATTACGTTTTTAAGGTGCCTTAAGCTTATGGACTATTTTGCGTTACGTAATTTCAGTAGGTAAGGGAATTTTTTTTTTGCTTTTACATACTTTAATCTTATAGGATCGATATATCGGGCACTTTTTCTTGGCAAAAGAGAGAGACGGTCCGGTATGTACGATACCTGTGATAAATGTAGCAATTTTATTGCTACATTGGATCTTCTCTTATACTGCGTATAGATACCATATACAGGGTGGATCGTTTCTCGGGGATAGCCTTTAGAGGGTGAATTTCACGGTAGAAAAGAAGTAAAAAATGTTAGCGTGAAACTGTCAAGGGTCCAATCTTTTTTTTATATGGAGTCTCAGGTCCAACACAGAAGGATGGTTAGAGGGATAAATGTATATCAGAGTATAAAAAATAGGTGCATTGTTTGGAGACAAACGATGGGTATAAAAAAAATAGCGTAAGTCTTTAAATTTAATGCATTTTCTTTTTCTTGAAAAGAGTGACGGATATATTCATAAATTTTAAGTAATACGAATACTCGACTCAAAATGGTTATTTTGGGACATTAATTTAACTCAACGTCTCCCCGGCGTCCAACTTTGCACTTTGAACTATACGGTGACCTGGGAATGTTTTACAAATTCTCTTATAGTTCTCGTACGGCTAAGTCGAAAAGTTCGCGGACCCTTTTTGGGTTCAAGTGTAAGCGCCTGTAGAATTTTCTACAATTTCTAGAGACCCGTAGGTACGGTCACTTTTGCTTTTTTACGCTCCTTGTTCGAGCGTACTTTTTGAAATGTGCAAGGCACGTGATCCTCATGCGAAATGCATAGGAATCCCAAATATATATACAACACAGAGGGAATGGAATATGCCACTTTGTGGAAATTCTCTTGAAAAGGCAACTTGAATTTCCCACGACTTTTCCAAGGAGGCATTGCGATGGCTGCCATTACGGAAAAGCAAACAAACCCAAGAAAAATATATGCGAGACATTCTACCTGCTTTTACGTAACTTTTCAAGAATATGATTTTGCACTTTCAATACGTACAGATCTTTTTTGTCCTTTTGTTTTTCAACAGTTTCATACGTCAACTTGAACCACCGGATGCATATCGAGGCCAAGTGCATTTCCGTTCTGTAAAACGTTATCAACAAATGCCAATACGTCTGAGGAATATTGTCAAAAAGGAATAAAATGATCCAAGTGACTTATAGTGATCAAAGATACTCGCCAAGTCCAGGTATATCGAAACGATAAATAAGAATATTTTTCAAATTTTCATAGAAACGAGTGAGCTGAAAGACAAAATGAAAATTTGCAATGAAATTTTGATCTACTTTGAAAAATAGACAAATATTTCTATGGATTCTTTCTAGGATCGATTTTTCTTCTAATCGTTGTAGAAAAAATACATTGTTGCCATTTTTTACTTATAATTTTTCATACCATCCCTAAAGCATTGTCCATTAATTTTTTTATTGGATGAATGAAAATTAAAAACAGAAAAGCAATTAGATACAGAATATATATTATATTTTACAGTATATATGGAATAAACAAGAATATATTTTCTTTCGAGTAGAGTGACAATGCTCGAGCTTAAAAAAAGATATCACAAAGCTTCGTTAACGTTATAAGGATAGTTGGCAACCCTGACAATGCTCCTAGTATATTAATGTCTTGTATGCTGGAAAAGATACGCGATTTTAAGAATTTTCATTTGTTTCAAAGGCAAAACAATATACGAGCATCGTTACGTATCGCATTGTAATTCAGATTTCAAAAAGCTTCTATGCTTTTCTTTTTTGAAAACCATAGAAAATTAAGACTGACGGACTAAAAGAATTCATTAATTCACTAGTCGATATCTTTAAAAAATAAAGCTCTGACACATAATCGATTTCACCAGACTTCTCTAATCGACTCGCTTTGGTATCGTCAACAAAAGACCCTAAATTTACACCTAAACTGTCTCCTGCATTGTTCACGGCTTCCTGATACGCGGCACTATACAAAATTAGAAGGCTTCATTAGCAGATGGGCTTGAGGCCTGATAACAATTATAAACAATCTATGACAAGAACCACACGTGTCGTGCATAGATATACATGTATAAGACCTCAAAAGATTCATTAATCACCTGGAATTTATTTTAATTAAGGCAAAATCAATGTTTCCCTACCCCAACGAAAAATTCTCGATTAATTTAAAGAATAGCGAACTCAATCTTCCCCAATTGCATTCCTGGTGCATCGGAGCCTTTTCGAATTTATTAACGACCCTGTGTATCGTTAATTTCAATAATTACAAATTTTGCAATAGCAACAGCACTGGTACTTTATTTCGTACGAAATATTAGAATATATTAAAACGATGCCATTATGCAATTTTTAATATGTACATTTGTTGCATTTTACATCCGCAAGGACTATCCCATGGGAGCTGCACATTGGGAACAGCGATATGTATATGCAGACTCGTTTACTTTATATGGTTATATACGTATACGTATTATAGTATATTCTTGGCTAAGGGATACTTTGGGGACGTTTTCATTTACAAAGCGGCTGTTTTGGGGACCGTCCCCAAAAAAAATTCCAACGTAATGGCTGTTTTAAGGAACATAAAGCGTACTGTCACACCAAATTTTTAAATATTTTTTTAATGTTAGCCATCCAGTATTTTGTGATAGGCTTACCAATGTTTCGTTAGGTTAGATTAGGTAAGAATTTCAATGCTGTGATGTCCCAAGGTAATAGTTTTTTTTAACATTAGCTTACTATTGTGAACGCCCCTTAATTTTTCGTTTCCCAAAAGTACCCCTTGCTCGCACATGCATATATATACGTTTAACCTATGCTAATTCAAGGCTTTTATTATGTCGTCCTATACTCTGCGAGAGTTAAGTGTATTTGACATATAATTTGCGAAATTAATTATTATCAAATTTATTACCATACCTCTCGTACGCCTAAAGTCAATTGTTTCGTCAAATAAGCTCATTTGATTTCTACTTAATACAAAATTCAAACTGCCTGAAGATTCGTAAATGAATACGCAGCATGCATCATGCTTAAAGTTTCTACATTATATTTCTTCTTCCTCGCCATCTCGGTTAGCCTGGACTTTTGCATTTATCTTTTATTCATGCCTGCCAATATTTTATTCAGAACGCTCTCTCCAACCAAAATTAGATACATTAATAATAACCGAGCTATGATTCTACCTTCTATTCTTGCTGATTCTTCGTGCCGGAGATAGGCAACATCTGCATTCTCAATTTCTGAACAAATTTAACCTACATTGCATTGCGTTCTTTGACTTTTTCTTGAGCGATATATACTGTTAATACGTATACATGGGATTAACTATCCTTGGAACTCGAGTAATATTTGTTCGTTGCCACTGACGTAGACTATACACAAAGCAGCCAGGATTTCCGTAAGCTGATGTAAACTTGTACTATACTATAGTAATTTATAGATAGCCATTAACGTTGCATGTTAACTTCGTATATCGAATAGCCCTGCGTGATAACTCGTTTATACAGTGTATTCAGAGTAACTTAAATCACATATTGTCTGTAGAGTCGTATAACATTTTCATAGTACAGTTAATTTTCGAAAGTTAATTTTCGGGGTACTTCCTCCAATCGTACGATGCGCTTGCACGTTA